CGCGTTGCTGGATCTGAGGGCCCTCCTGTATCAGCTGGCGGAAAGCGGCTACTGCAATGGCGGCGGCTCTTTGGGCCACGCCCCCGATGATCCGGCCGCCCTTGTGTCCAGCGTGCAGCAAGGGGTGTCGCGGCTGTTCCAAACTACGGCCGCCCTGGAGGAGAGGCAAGCGCAGGTGACCGCGGCCGCGCACGAGCTGCAGCAGGACGTGCACGAGAAGGAGCTGCTGCTGGAGGAGGCCGAGCGCAGGGCGGTCGAGCTGCAGAGGGAGCTGGAGAGCGCCACGGCCTCCTGCCACGGCCACGCAGGCGGCGTGGACGAAGGCGGCGGCTTCGATAGGCAGGTGCTGGACGTCAGCAAGATCCCCGTCATTCAGCACCTGCTGAAGACGTGGAAGGAGACGGGAGGGGGGGAGCTGCGGAACCCGGGGTCGACCGTGTCGCACAGCACCGGCAGCGCGACGCCCGCTGAAGACGTCAGATTGTGTGAGGTGCCCCAGAGTGGCCTGTTCGTAAAGGCGGGGGTGCCGGTGGATGATGATCGGTCTGCTGGGACGCCACAGGGCCCCTTCGACGGGCTGGGAAGTGGGGCGTCAGATGCGCGAGGGGTGGGTGAGCACGGAGGCGGGAGTTTGGCCGAGCGTCATGGGGAGTTGTCATCCGCAATGGGCACTCCTCCCTGCGACGTGGCGCACCAACTTGTGCAGATGAACCGTCAGTTGGAAATTGTGGGGCTGGAGCACGCCAGGCTGAAGTCAAGCCTGGAGTCCCTGGCTTTCGTGCAGCACTCGCACGGTGAGGAACAAGTCCACGGCGTGACGGGAGGGCTGCAACATCAGATGAGCGAGATAAAATCTCTGCGGCACATGGTGGAGCGCCTAGAGAGTGGTCAGAGGGATCTGCTCGACGTGTTTCTGGGCGCTCGCACTGTCCCTGACAGCCCAACACAAGGGACACTAGGGAATGGCTGCTAGTTCAAGAAGAGTTGTCATCGGATGATGCCAAGCGTATATGGAGCCGAGAAAAGCCAGGAGACCATGGATCATCGATGAAGGATTGGTGTTGCAGGCAAGTACGGTACACAAGGCAGGCAAGGGCCCCAATAAGAGTTCAGTTTGACGCCGTAGTTGCAGTGAGCTGTGGCACGAGGTGAAATACGCAGCATCGGTTCAACAATATGGGAAGGGCAATTCTGCACAGGACAATATCGCCAACGAGTAAACAAGCACAAGGGACGCAGCACAACAGGGTAGGCCTGCGCACAAGCACATGCTACATGAGTATTTTATTGGCACCGCGTGTTCCACGCTATGTGCCTGCTGCGTGGTGCAGTAGTGCTTGCGCCTTTTGAAAGAGCTCCATTTTGCAGCCAATCACGTATTGCAATAATGCGCGACTGGCTGCAAAGTGAAGCTCGTTCAACAAGGCAATCTTCCATCCATGTCTATCTGCAATAATCAACAGCCATTGATTCTTGTTGACTATATGATCAAAGTGTGGTGCATTTGATCTTATTTTGTCACTGCTTTTGTTTCTTTATTGATTCTTTCATCTTACTTGATTCCCATTGTTACGAAACCACAAAAGGACAGCACCAAACCTTCTGAAATGTGTTGGAAAACTTTTTGTCGGTCACAGATGCACAGCGCATAAAGTGCTGCCATCTGCAGCCCCTTGATCAAGGGGCAAGATGCGAATCATGATTCGCATAACATTGGAAAGCAGGGAAAATGCCGAGCCGATTGTCTCCACATGGCAGCTCTCGATCGAGTTACCATAATCAAAAGGACATGCGGTCCCTTGCCGTCTAAAATGGAGTACCACATGGCCCAAGGAAAGTCTGTTGAGGGTTGGGAGCCACCAATAGATGATGTTCATCTTTTAGGTAGGGTTTGATGCGTTGAACCTGCCCATCAAAAAGTGGGAATTTGACGCAAATACCCCGACTAAAGTCACCATAGGAGGATTGTCCTGCACGTCTCATTCTTAGACATGAAGGAAGGACGAGGTAACGAATGTCATGAAGAGTACCAGAGCCCAGAATACCTTAAAAACCTGAGACCACTAAAATCCAAAATGACTTCCATTATCTTCGTGACGTCATACCCGGAAATGAAAGTTATTGTGCATTTGTGCATAACGCACAACATGCATGCGCTGCATACTGTATGGCACAACTCCAAATTGCTTTTTGGCCCAACTGCAGCAACTTCTGTCAGCTGCAGAGTCCGCGTACTTCTCCTGCCAGGCTTGGTTTTTACGCTGTAAAAACTGATCGTATTTATGTCTTTACACGTAAAAACAGTTTTCACACGTAAAAACAGTTTTTACGTTTTTACACGTAAAAATGCATAAAAATACGTAAATACAACGTAAAACTGCCCGGTGTACATAAGGACAGTACATACAGACTTGCGGAATCCGAAGAATGGCAGCCAGATGCCCTGGAAGGGCCATAAAACGAGTTTCTGTTAAACACCATCATCGCCCTTGCCAAGGGCGAGGTGGACATTGTGTTGCGGGTGCTGGATATGGCGGAGGACTGATCATTGTACGCAATTTTCATCGTGTAATCTGGGCATCCCAGGGAGCCGTAAAAACGTAAAAATAGCTGTAAAAATAGGCCCTTTGCAAATTTACGTTTTTACGTATAAAAACGTAAAGTAAGAACGTAAACATAAACGTAAAGACCAAGCCTGTCTCCTGCATCCTTCTATCTCTGGTCCTGACGCCTCCATGCATAAATATGTTCAAATGAGAATTCAGAAAGATAAGGTATGGAGTTTCATTGCGGCATTTTCATGTGTTCAAGAATGTCTCTCCCGTGGTGCAGGGTACGGATCCGCAGTCCCGCGCACCTGCCAGCGACACTGCCAGCACGGGGACGATGACGGCTTTGCTGCCAACCGTCGATCTCGATCAAGACGAGGGTTTTTTCTGACAAATGATTACGTTCATTTAGGTTTTGTGCATAGGCTTCCTGTTCGTTCATGGGTCGCACGTTGCAGTCGGTTCCTAGATGACCTTGAATGTCACTCCCTAGACTGTGGCGAGCCATTTTCCTCGCATGTGTGAACCCTCTTAAGTCATGCTGGCGATTGATTAAACCCTTAAGATGTTGAGTTTTGTGGGTGCATGAGGATTTGCATTGGATATTGTTACGATCAAGAATTAGTTGAAACATGCGATGAGATTATTGGAGCAGGAGCTTGGGATTAGGGCACAAGAACCGCTACACCAGAAGTTGGTTGCCGATTTTCAGGAACTTCAGATGGGACTGGGATTCCCTGAATTGCATATCAAGTGTTTGGGTCGCGGAGAGATGCGAGCTTTCGTTTTACATCAAGATCTGCAGTATATTTCAATCTCAGAACAATGGACCCAGCAGTATCCAAAGCGCTCAATTTTGCAAAACATGAACATTCGAAAAGATTTGGCTTCATTTCGATAGTTTTGCGAAATCTCATGATTCAGATAAGTCGTGTGAATTCTACAAGTAGAATTCTGTTGATCTGTAACTTGCTGCGTTCTGAGGCTCTGTGAGACGAATTCTGTACTTTCAGATCGGTCTGGTAGATTGGTTTAGTGAATTTGTTTCCAGGGCTCAGCTGTTTTTTTTTTCACCATGAATGAGTGCATCCTGATGTTAGAGTCCAGAAACATACGACGACGGCCACGTAGCTGTAGACATGTGCGAGGCGTTTTGATTTCAGAACGAAGGCAAAAAAGCTACGAAACACTTATGCTTTGAACGCAAGTGCCTGACCAATGGCATATGTTGCTGCACATCACTGCTGAATTGCTACACTTGGATTTCTAAATCTGACAAAAAATCAAATTTACATTCGGCTGACGTTTAACCCCCAGATGTGGAAAAAGCGTAGATATCATGTTTGCTCGAGGCCATGCTCAGTGTAGGAAACCTGTTCGGCAGACTCTGTAGATTCTATAGTGTTCGCGAACGTCACCTTCAGGCTCGAGCCAGTGCCCGAATGCAATTTTTCTTGGAATTTTGCCTGGGAACAATTTCGGAATCTGCTAATTGCTGCACCCATGCCGTTTCAACACAACGGGGCACTGCAGACTGAAAGGTTGCAAGCAATAAACCTGGTAATGTGCGCCCAAGGTACCTTAGCAGCAGTCGCCATCGGAGTGGTCGTCCCTTGACCGTAGTGCCATTGCCACTAGTGGCTGAGAGGCTGAGGGCAGCATCTTAAGGCCTCTTGCCTTGAGAATCACCAGGGCGGCTGCCACACAACACACGCCGGCTGTTGCCACAGTTTGTGGCAATAGCTGACAGGTGATGACAAGCCTCACCTCTGCTGTGGGCTACAGGGGAGGTGAAGTGTGATGCCATCTGCCAGCGTTGGTTGTGGTCGGCGGGTATCCCTTCCCTCGTCGACCACGGGTTGGCCAATGTTGGCGGCCATTTTCTGTGGCCGACCGGGATTGCCATCGCGCTCAGGAGGATGGTCACACTTTCGAGCAATGGGGGAATTCGCCAAACCCCCTGTAGTGGAAGGTACAGACCCGTTTGAAGAGATGGCCGCTAAATTTTGCGGAATTTATTGCTCAAGGTGTGCTATCGTTACACATGGACTGAATGGATGGCGTGGCCGCAAGGGGACACCGCTGTTGGAGTCGATCTGTGTCTCCGTTGCCTCCAGTTCGCCCCCGGACTGCTGCCACCGGACAGCTCTCCAGCGGCGAACCAGTCAGCGACCAAGCAACGATGCAGAAATTCGCGCCGAGCGGTTGCATCCGCACCGGGTCGTCACCACAAAACCGCTCGCGGGCGCACGACTCTGTCTGCGCAGAACGCGCAAAATAGCCGTCTTGCGTTTTCGTACACTGCGCACCTTAAGGCCCCCCGGTTGCCGGACTGCGGTCGAGCAAATCGGATCCGCAACGAGCGGCCCAAGCCCGCTTTCCACGCGCTCGTACGCTTTCTGTCACGGATCTTGCTGAAGACGCCCTCCACGATCCGGGGGCCTTTCTTGAATGCGCTTGCGGTGCCACAGCCCCGCCCGGCCGCTCCCGCCTGCCTCCCACCTGGTCCGCGGCATGTCGTTCTCCTCCGCGTCGGTCTTGGGTCTGGGCGGTGCCGCCGGGCTGCTGTCGGCGCGATCGGGCGCGACCCCCGCGGCCCCGCGGCGCTTGGCGGGCCCCAATGTCCGCGCCAAGGCCGCCGAGAGCGACGGGTTCGAGCTGATGCGCAAGGGCGTCAAGAAGGCCGGCAGCGAGACCATCTTGACGCCGCGCTTCTACACGACGGACTTCGACGAGATGGAGGAGATGTTCAGTCCCGAGAAGAACCCGCAGCTGAACACGGCGGAGTTCGAGGCGCTGCTGAGGGAGTTCCGCACAGACTACAACCAGCGGCACTTCGTGCGCAACGAGACGTTCAAGAAGGCGGCGGAGAACATCACGGGCCCCACGCGCAAGATTTTCGTGGAGTTCCTGGAGAGGTCCTGCACCGCGGAGTTCTCGGGGTTCTTGCTGTACAAGGAGCTCGGCAGGCGCCTGAAGAAGACCAACCCCGTGGTGGCGGAGATCTTCACGCTGATGTCGCGCGACGAGGCGCGCCACGCGGGATTCCTCAACAAGGCGATGTCCGACTTCAACCTGGCGCTGGACCTGGGCTTCCTCACCAAGAACAGGCAGTACACGTTCTTTGCTCCCAAGTTCATCCTGTACGCGACTTACCTGTCGGAGAAGATCGGCTACTGGCGATACATCTCGATCTATCGCCACCTGCAGAGGAACCCGGATTGCCAGCTGTACCCCATATTCGAGTACTTTGAGAACTGGTGCCAGGACGAGAACAGGCATGGCGATTTCTTTTCGGCGATGCTCAAGTCGGAACCCCAGCTGGTGAGCAAGGACGACTGGCAAGCCAAGCTGTGGTCACGCTTCTTCTGCCTTTCGGTGTACATCACCATGTACCTCAATGATCACTCCAGGGATGCATTCTACAGCGCCCTTGGTTTGAACACCACACAGTTTAACCAGCACGTCATTATTGAGACGAACAAGACGACCGCACGGATTTTCCCCGCAGTGCCAGACACTGAGCACCCCGAGTTCTTTGTCAAGATGGACAAATTGGTGGAGCTGAACACCAAGTTGGCAGCAATCGGAAATGAAGACGCCCCAGATATGCTGAAGAATGCACAGAGGGCCCCAGTTATTGCACAGATGGTTTTCATAATGCTACAAGTATTCTTCATGACCCCCATGGAGAGCGGCTCCTGGGATTTCGACTCAGAGACGCAGCTTGCGTATTGAGTGAGGAAGGGGCAGTTGATGGGAGCCGCAGGTGAGCCATGTGCCTGGTGCTGTGGAGATGCCTGCAAAAGGCCTGTATTCTGTTGCATTCTGTGCAGTGCACCTTGTGCAGGGAATCCTGCAACAACGCCCAACCTTCTTTGTGTTCGCCAATTTGTGGACGTTTGCTGCGATTCCTAGCAAGACTGCAGTTGAGGAACAGGTTGTCAAAGATGACCGGGGCATCGTTTGGTGTGCGTCAGTCTGGTGAGTGCAGCTCTCGTTTTGTTCTTACAGTTGCACTCACTGCCACTTGTTCTGCACTGCAGGGGGAGCACTTCGTGGTCAAGATGTGCTTCAGTCTGTGAGAAGATGGCTGTTGGGGGAGAAAACACCAATGCAATTGTTTTATTAACATTCCATGCCTTCTGCAAATGAGGCTATTTATATGTGGACGAACATTCCAAGATTCTTTGTAACAGAATGGAGAACATGTTGTACCAACAAGCGGCACATTCTTCTTGTGCATCAAGGTGTGCAAGACACTATTGCATGTTCCAAGAGGTGCTATGGATTTCTTTGACTCCACAAGGAATGGGTGCAGTGCGGAGTGGCATATAGAGCAATATAGCATTGCTGTCATTGGGCACCATATGAGTACACATAACATCTGCTGTCGTTGGTGCGATGCTTACCACTGACAGAGAATTCCAGGGTCCACAGATTGCAGACTTTGTTGATGGCAATGGGCTTATTGCCCTGTGTGGTGCCATGATGTGACAGCTGATGGCCTGTGATAGATCATTTTGGCAGTCGTTGGGCTGTATGTTAGGGCCAAGCATGAAATGCCACCATGAACTACAGCAACCTCGTTGTGCTGACCCTATTTCACGTTGGTGACTTGCCTGTTGGTGTGGCACTTGGATACCAACTGTGCAGGCTCGTTGGCATAAATATTGCTGGCCTCACATTTGCCAGACTGTTGATGCATTGCTATTTACAGAATGCCTCTGGGTCCCATGCTGGTGCATTTTGTGCCATGCATGCACATGCCTTTGCACATTCTGCCATGCATTGGTTACGCTTTTCGTGTGGCAGGAGTGCTTGATGAAACGATCCACAATCGAACTTGATGTTGGTGCCACAGTATGCCCACAGGCCATGCAACCAACGCTAAACAACACGAAATTGGCGCTTGAGGTTATCTGCACCATCGGTATGCAAACCACATCAGCCTTTGCCAACTGACCCTCATACTTGTGCTTGACGGTTTCGGTGTATTCATTGAGGTCTTTCCAGAGTTACACATTGTAACGATGGCCCAGGGCGACCCCATGGCCATCTTTTTGTTGATCACGTCCAAAGATTCGCCTGTCCCCTGCCCCAGGGCGGGTTTAGAGTGGGGCAATGGGACACGAGATCAGGGATGTCCAGCCACTTTGCATGCACGCCACTTGCGATTCGGACACAGAAGTCTGGATACAATTGACCCACACGCCCTGGACACTCAGGGGCACATTTGGCATCCACCGAGGTACCTCTGCCGTGTCGAACGGATGCAATCCAGGCGGTCTTGTTGCAGAGCCGTAGATGCCAGAGCAGTCTTCTCAAAGGACTGACGGGCAATAAATGCAGTCTCAATGCTCGAGTAGCAACACGGTCGCACCCTCACCTGTATGGGAAATAGGATACGGCAAGGGAATCAGGAACGGAGTCGACACTCAAGTCAAAGTTCAAGTGGTGGGACCATGATATGCCACCAAAAACCACGTCCCTTGGGAGTTGTAACTCCCATAAGCGATACAAAAGGACCTTCGATGTCCTAGCATACCAATTGTTGAAAGCTACTTCTCACCGCAATCCCTATTAGAGCCCTCTATATGATATTCCTGAAGCCCCAGCATCCGAAATGATAACTCCCGGTCGGTATGAGTTCATCCCTCGCATCACAGGTTCATATTCTGAAAGGTCTCTGAGAGTCCCAGGCAATTTAGGTTACTCCGGCAGAACAACGCAATAGTCTCCTCATCACACAAATGTCCCAAACTAATGATCCAATCTCCCAGGCCTTAACATTCCGACCCAGCCTTAATGATCCTCACCTAGCCTTGACGATCCATTCCCAAGCCTTAGTGATCTAGTCTTGGCACCGATGATCCAATCCAATCCTGTTGGAGGGATGGGAGTAATGGGAGTCATCATCATCGGTATGGCCACATGGCTTCGGAACATAGAGGAAGTAAATAAAAGGACAGTAGTCAACCGGCAGCTCATAGGGCTCAGAAGGGATGTAGTTTGGACAACAATTGACGGTGGTCGCTTGTTCATAAGGTTAACGGAATAAAGGAGTTAGTCACTTGATGGTCATTCCATGGTTAGAACGTCTTAGTTCCCATTCACTATGCCTTGGCAGATTCAGCCCATCATGCCCTGGCAGGTTATGTAAGTTACCAACAAAATAGACGAAATATTGGGGGTATCTCAAAATTTGCCACACTCACATTCCCAAAGATTTTGGATAAAAACATGGCAGAAAGTGGCATAGACTTGCTCATAAACTGATGTAACTCAAATAAGAAGAATGCTATGGGTGTGGTTTAATGAAATCCTAGCTTTTGGGACCTCACAACCATCGGGAATAAAGCCGAAAATGTTAGGCTACATGATGTGACAGGTTAATGACAATTTGCCTAGACAATATTCTGGACAAATTGCCATACCCAGATCAGACCAATAAAGTGCAGCTGCCACTGTTCAGCCCAATGGTATGACGGGGAAAAGTGCACCTATGCGGGGGCATGAAGTTATTGTGAACTTGTGGCAGGATTAGCGTGACAGCCCACAGGCACTACGGTGGTTGCAGTGTTGTCAAGTGGCATTCTAGACACACGGTTGTGAATGGATTCTAGCTAGATTTCTTGCAAGGGATATGCTGCTGCATCGTATTACACCCATCCACCCAGCGGCTGGGCCGCAAATATGTGGCTATTGTGCAAGATTGGTAGGCGCATTATGCAAACAGAATATCAAGCACTCAATAACTTGCCAGGGAAGCTTGCACACACCTTCCCAAGAGTGAGCGCTGGCCAAGAACACTACCATGAATGTTTTTGTACGTGGAGATCAGACCCTTGGTAGCAGTCGATTTTGCACTGCAAAAGTTATAGGCCATTGAACATTGGCACCAACCGGCACAATGGGTAGTGGTGACAGCCAATATGTTGTACACACAACTTGTAGATAGGTTAAATAAGATGGGAATAAAGTTGTTGTTTAGTGGTTTACTATGGGAAGGCATGTTGGGGCTTCTAAACATAATTGTCTTACCAAGCAGAGTGAGGCCCTATTGCAAAATTCGTGTTGGGCATATGCGGAGCATAGTGAAGCAGGCCAGAACGACTTCGGCGAAAGGAATTGAGCGAAGCGAGGCTTTAGCTCGGAAATTGGGATAATGGTTTGACAATCATAGTAATGAAAACGAACTGATTGAACATTTAGGTCTGCCGGCCTTGGCAACATGGCGAACAACCCCAACCTTCCTGAATCTCTGATTGTGTAACAACCTTTGCACAAGTGTGTCCTTGAGCCAGTCAATGTTGGCTGCTCTGTGCCCTGTGTCCAAGAGTCCTAACCCAAGGCAGAGTGCGTGCGCAATCCCATGTGCATCGAACTAGCTTTCGTGCAAAATGTCGGTAAGGGGGTCATGGAAAACAATGGAAGATGCATTTTGCGCACATGCAAAATGCAAGAAACACACCACAACAACGAACTTACGCACAAACATGGCATTTTTTGGGATCACACCACTGACGGGAAAACCACGATGTTGCGCACAAAAGAAATTGAATTGGTCCTGGCCAAGGACGCTTACAACCACCTCACTACCAGGCTATGCGACCCACAAGTCGTGGGTGCAGCATGGCCTTGCAACCTATTACAATTGATGTCACACACACAGTGGGAATTACAAGTTCCTACGTCTAGAAATGGCCCTCCCCCGTCTAACACATTTCATCCTAACGCTCCAGCTCCGCCTGGAGATGCCGTTTGTACTGGGGGTGGATGCACCCCTTCCTAGCTCCATTGGCCTCTAACCAAATGTTGCAAATGACGTTGTCGGAGGATACCTCCCCCCGTATTTGCTGCCCTTCCACCCAGCGCCCATTCAGTTGGGTATCGTCTGAGGCGTCGAAACGGAGGGTCCCCAAGTTGTAGGGGGGGCTGGGCATGAATTCGCTTTCATAATACGCAATGGTGAATACTCTCTTCAGCGCGGGCCCACATCCCTCTCTGGCCCTGGCCCCCTTCACAATCGCGATGTCGAAGCGCCGGCCCCATTCTTTGGCGTCGGCGTTGGACATGGCGATGGCCACCTGGTGGCCAACCTCTATGTCCCGTGCGGCGTCGAAGAGGATGTACTCTCTGTCGTTGGGGAGCGCAGAGAGGTGCCCGAACAGCAGTGGGCGCTCCCCGGGCAGCGGGCCAATGTCCCTACAGAGAGAACCAATGGCATCGCTGGTGAGGGCACCATGGTAGCAGGGGGGGGGGACCATGGCGGGCGGACGGAATGCTCCACACCAGTGCGCTCCTACCTTGCGGTGGGTGGAGCAGGAACGTTGGAGGCGGTGGCGGGCGTGGTCTCGGGCGCAGTGGAGGGGGCGGCCAGCAAGACGGGGGACAAGCTATCCAGCCGCAAGGCGGCCCCCTCGTCGATGGCGAACGTGGGTCTGCCACTCCCGTCCGAAGGGAATGTGTGCTCGTGAGAGGCAATGAAGCCCTCCCACCAGCGCACGGCCCCAGCCATCCGGCGGAGCTTGCATTGTTTGATATCCTCCGCGGCGGCGGGGTCCCCACACACGTTGAGTTGGCGCTTCCACCTGGCGAGCTTAACGAGGACCCTCTTCTTGACGTCGTCAAAGTCTTGAAGTGCCACCCGTGGCTCCCAACGCAAGTCGGCAAACCTCGGGGCGGGTTTCCCTGGGACGAACATCGGCCACCCGCGGCCGTCGGGCGTGCCCACC